GTCTTGCAGCTGAACGAGGGAGGGCTGGAGATCTCGGGATTTTCCGCCTCTGATGGGTTAACCATTTGTTGAATTGAGTAGCATTCTGACACGGTGGAGCCCGGGTTAAGGTGTGCGGTCTTCTTTCCGATTCCAACTGCAGTGAGTAAGCACTCTCGAGAGCTCCGCTGGCATCCTTTCACTACTCCCACTCCATATTCCGTTGGGAATTTCATTACCAAGTGATAGCGAGACCATATTGCGCGTGCTTGGCACATCCAGGGTCGCCCTAGGATCACGTTGAACGGCGAGGGCACATCTATTAGGTCGAAATCTATGGTTAAGGTGACCGTCCTAGGATGCGACCCTACCGAGATGGGTAGGCTAATTCTTCCTATGGGGATAATAGTGTGGCCTGAGAATCCCAACAGGGGCATTGTAGCTGGGCGGATACAAGGGTTCTTGATGTTCATTTTCTTGAAGCAATCATTATATATGATGTCGACCGCGCTGCCGTTATCCACGTAAACCCTTCCGACTTTTACGTTTGCGATTATTGCTTCTATGACCATAGCGTCACTGTGGGGACAAATGTCTGGGACCACATCGCTATCTGTGAATATGATGGCCTCCATTCCGTTGAACCTTTTGTGGCTAGGCTCTTGTCGAGGAGTTTTGGTGACGGTTCGCAATGAGCTCTTCATGGCTGTGGTGGATAAGACTTCGAGGGGAGCTCCGTAAATAGCTCCTACCTGCTGAGTGAATAGTTTCATTGGATCTGCCAGGGGGAGTTGTTGGAGTGGCTGTGGTGCTGCTTCAGTGATGTGATAAGGTTGTTTTTAGGTATTAGCTCTCGGTTCCCAATTTTTTCCTCGTCCATCCCTCCGTGGTGGGCCTCTGAAGTTTCTTTTAGGGTAATCTCGTGACTGGGGCCTGTTATTCTTCTGCCGGGAGGCTGTTCCTTGCACATATTGCTGAAACTTTTCAGATTTGATCCCATTCTCGATTTCCCGTTTAAGCTCTCGGCAATCCTCCGTGTTATGGCCGTGATCTTTGTGATACTCACAATATTGTTCAGTTAATCTGTTTGGGTTAGGTGCCAAGGGTTTCGGAGCTGGCAATTCGTCCCTATGGATCTGGAGGATTTCTCGTCGAAGCTTGATTAAGGGTGTTAACTGCCTATCCATCTTGGGCAGTGCTGATTTGTTTTCCAAGGGGATTCTTGGCTTATCCTTTGGTCCTACCGAGGCGAAGGATTCCTGAGACCTCTTGAGTGTGTGTCCTCGTTGTATGTGGTTCTCGACGATGGCCCACATCTCTTGAGCATTCCTGGGGGGCTTGGTCGAGAGTTTAACTCGCAACATTGAGGATTTTCCGAAGGGGTTAAGGCCTTGGATGAATCCGTTTCGAACATCTCGATCATCAATGTTGTCGACCTGCAAGGTTTCTTGTATGAACTGTCTGTGGAAGTCAGTTAGACTCTCATGCTGCCCTTGTCGGATTGAGGAAAGGTCAATGGACATCCGCGATATCCGTTTGCTCTGAAAGAATCGAGTAGCTAGTTTGACAGACAAATCTTCAAAACTAGTGATGCTTCCTTCTGGTAATTGCCCAAACCATCGCTGTGCTGACCTGGCTAAGTAGGAGGGTAGCGCCTTTGCCATGAAATTCATGGTTGCGTTTCGGATTCTCATGACTTGGACATATCCTTGTAGCCATTGGGAGACATCGGCATCTCCTGAATATAGTTTGAATTCTTTAGGAAAGTCGAAGTCTCGGGGCTTAGGTTCATCTCGAATGTCGAGGATGAAGGGGCTCCGGTCTAGCTCTACCCTGATGATCTTTCTCATTTCCTCCCGGATCAAGGTATTCTGGTCTCTTGCTCCTTGCTGATCTCCTTAGAAGTATGGAGGATTTTCTCTACGCCTATTATGTTGCTGATGTCTAGGAGGCGAATACCGAGGATGGTGATGGTATTCTTGGTCGTAGTTGCCCTTGATGTTGTTGTAGCCCTGGTGTGGTTCGTAGCCATGTCTATACTCACCTCTTCGAGGGCTTCTTCGAATCCAATTGAATTCTAAGTGATTATGTGCATTAGTTTGCCTTGGGGGGTTCCCCTGTTCACCTTCAATGATCTCGACACTCGGGGAATCGTGATGCTCCCGAGTGTTCCTACGTTGGTATATCGCGTCGAATTCCTCGAGAGCTGTATCGAAGGCTGTGTATCTTTCCCTGAAAGCATTCCAGAATATGGTATCTCTGGTAGCGTATGAACATTCCCCGTGGGGGTTTTCGTGCCCCTCGGTCTCTTGGTAATTTTCATGCTCTTGGACTTTCCGCTTCCCCCGTTTCTTCTCGAGAAGGACTAGGGTTCTGCGAGCTTCTTTTTCGTCGATCAAATCCTCCAAATCTTGTTCTGTGGGGTCGGGTTGTCCAAGGAGACAACGCCGCCTGGTTTCTTTGAGAACATATCTCCGCATCCTCTGTTGTTGATCGCTATCATCGACTAGCTTCTTGAGTTCAGCCTCGATTTTGGCTAGTTTCTGGTCTTCCAAACGCTTGGTAGCGGCGGGGGTATTCCGAGGAAGAGGTATATCTTCTTTTTCAGGTGGAAGATTGGTTTTGTTTTTGGTGGATTGTCAAACCAACAAAAATAAAAGATTCTACTCCTAACAAATTTAGTAATATAGCAATGAGTAGAGTCGTCTCCTCAGGGAGCAAGGAAGTGAAAATATTTCTAATCAAAAGTAAAGTAACTAAATGGGAGAGATTTTGGATTTGTAACTAATGAATAACAAAAATAATTTGCAAGCAATAAAAGATACTTTTGGAAAATCAATAATAAGAGCAACTCTAGTCAAAGGAATAATTTTCACCTTGATGTATCCAACTGATCATTGATGCAAAGATTAACTCAACAAATGATGAATATATTAGTTATCGTTGTTGGAACCTCCTAACAACTCAATCTTTTTATTTAACTACCAGTGACTAAGAAACCTTCATTAATCACTCTATAGCCAAAAAACACTACCTGGAACCTCCTAGGATTTAGTTTTTGACAAGCAAAGACCCAATTCAATTTCTAACAAACAAACCTTGTTTCATTAAAAATTGATTATTTATTCTCACAACACAAGTAAACTACTTTAATTATTTGCATTGTCTCTTCTAAGGAACAAACAAACCTTGTTGTTCAATAAATTAGATTATCTAGGAGAATTGAATGCTACTGGCTATTCAAATAATGCCAAATAATCATCAATACACATCAAAGAGAATAAATAAATACTCAAAATTCGTTGGTGAAAAGCAAACAGTTAGATCTCACAATTGAATAACATCAAGACTTCAATAAAATCCTTTAACTAGAAAAGAGGTTTAGTTGATAATCATGGTGAAATCAACAACACAAGAATTGATGTTTGACATTACAGAGCTAAAACTGACGAAAACGGAGAGAAATCCTTGTCCTGAACTCCAGCTATTGCTCCTTGTGTTGTGCCTCTTCTCCTCTCTTTCTTAATAATTAGAAAAAGACTATTTATATGCAAATTTAAGGCATCCCCACGTTCAGCCCGTTCAAAAATCGCAGCAACCAATTAAAATTTTCAGAATTTTCATATTGGTTCCTGAAGTTTGCCAAAATTACAAATTGATCTCAAAACTTTAGAAATTTTGCACTTTAGTCCATGTTTCAGCGTGCCCACACGGGAATACAACATTGTTTCTGGTTTCCTGCTTCTTCATTGATTTTGGCATGGGTTTTGTGTGCCCACGCAGGAATCAACCACTTCTTCTCCAACTTGAAATTTGATTCAATAAAACCTTCAAAATCTCTTCAAAATCAACACTTTTCTTCTTTTTGTTCCAAATCCTTCCTATGATCAAATTAAGAACCAAAGCACTAATATTAGCATAGATAATATTCAAAACAACACATAAACTACCACAAATATCATGCTAATATTAACATTATCAGTTTTGTTTTTTCGGATCGGGCTGAGAAGCGCCAAGAACCAAATGCTCTTTTGTTGGTTCTTTCCCAGGTTCTCCACCGTGGCTCTTTCCTGTCTTTCTTTTTTCTTGCCGGCGTTGGAATTCGGCTAGGGGGGTATCGTCCCCTAGACTATGCTGGTGACCGGAGGATGCCGTGCTACCGGCGTCTTCTTCAACTCTGACCATCGTATTGATTGTTCCGGCAACCCTAGTTTTTATTGGGAGATGTTAAGGAAACCTGAGAAGGTTTTTGTGACACAAACCCTAGATTTTGGGTCCCACCGGGCGTGCCACTTGACGATGCTTGGATATGCGCCACCGGTTTAACGGTGGAACTCCGGTTAGGGTTTCCTGCAAAACAGGGCCTCGGGGTCTCCCGAGGGTAGACACTCCAATACTTAAGTCAGTAAAAGGGTTGCTAGAAAGCTTAGGTATGTAGTTTGTTAGGCTATAGATTGCGTACATGTACTGTGGTATGAGCTACCCTATTTATAGATATGAGAATACTTGGGCAAATCCCGAATCCCATTAGGTTTCAGGAATCTCCACCGCCTTAAGAGTCCCGGTTGGGCTCTTTCTTAGGTTGGTGGGCCGGTCCAGTCTCGGTGATGGATATGGACTCATCAAGGGGAAAAAAAAAGAAAAGAAATAATATAAAGAAAACAAAAAGAAAAAAAAAAGAAACTAACTAGTGGACCTCATTGTTTAGGAAATTAATAAAAAAAATTAAAGATTTAACGGTCAACAAGTTAGACCCGTTAAATTTGAAAAATTTCCGTTAAATTGACCAACATTGATGAAAAAAATATTTTAGAGGACTGTTTTTGTCAATTGAAAATAAATTGTGACTCGATCTTGCTACGCTCAAAAAAAACTGGGAGACGAAAAGTACATCAGGTTCATATTTAAAAGGTTAAAAGATATTTGATGAGATCAAATATGTCCTTTATCTCCCATTTTGTATCACTGGTGTCAATGCTGCTTCATCTTATCGATGATCAGGTAATTTGAGAGAGTGATTACTTAGATAATCATCACGATTATGATTTTAGAACTGTCGATTATTGGTTACATGATACATACAAGTTATTCTAGTCTCTACCAAATTCCTTTGCAGAAACCAAACCATGTCATTTTTTTCTGGACCAAAACTCTGGAGGAAGAAAATAAACTGTTCAAGCTTCCTAATTATATCTCATTCCACAGAAAGTTTGAAGCATAGTGTCTGTCAAACAAAATGACATCTGGTAGAAAAAAACATCTGCAACATTTACACCAAAGGAAAGATGTACAGAAGGGCACCAGAAGAGTATAGTTCACTAAAATCTCTCCTCTAAATAGTCAGTACCCATGCTGATTGGATAATTAGTTTGGGGGGATGGTGGAGAAGCAGTTGATGTTGATGTTGATGCTGATGTTGTAGAAGCAGTAAATGGCACACCAAGCTGCTGAATTCTCAATTTCAGGGCCCTAATCTTGTCACTCTTGTTTCTCTTGCGTGATTCACTCAGTTCTTCAATCAACTTCTTTCCTCGGCCTTCCAACATCCTAACCGCGGATGACATGCTAGGCCGGTCTGTGGGTTTTTCGCTCGTACAAAGGAGGGCAACATGTATAGTCCTCATAACCTCCTCTTCATTGTAGTTTGATCCTAGTCTTGGATCTATAAGATCCATTAGTTTCCCTTCCCCCTCCAACTGATTAGCCTGCAAAAGAAACCAACTTAATTGAATTTCCACAGACACACATTAGCATGCATGTGCAAAGGAAGCGAGTGCTAATATGCGACATCAGATAAACTGAGACAAAACCAGCCAAATCTTGTAAGTACGACTGTATGAAGTGATAAGTTACTGGCACTTAATGACTTTAACAATCCTGAGGGGCAGTGGTAGACTCTACTGTCTGATTTGACGCACACATGCTATTTTTCATGCCAAATCTATTCAACTTGAAAGTGTTAACCTGGATGGAATTGCAACTGAAAGAGAGCTAATAATAATCAGTTTACCCAGTCAGTAAGGTTAAAACAATCCTCTGTTGTTCTGATGCTAGTGGTACACCTTCCATTCACAATTTCCAAAAGGACAACTCCAAAGCTATAAACGTCGGCCTTGTCAGTTAAATGACCATTCAATGCATATTCAGGAGCCATGTAACCCCTGAAAGTTAGAATCAGGGAATCAGAACTTGTATCTACAACCATCAGTATTTAAAAAAAAAAAAGAAAATAAAAGATATCAGAACAGAACTTTTAAACTGGAATTGGATACATGGCATGTCGAAATTTCCTAGACTTACGTTGTACCAGTAATACGGGTGCTTATATGGGTATTTTCTTCTTCATCAAGCTTAGCAATACCAAAGTCGGATATTTTGGGATTTAGATCCTTATCAAGAAGCACGTTCGCGGCCTTTATGTCTCTGTGGACAATCTTCAAACTTGATTCTTCATGGAGATAAGCCAGACCTCTTGCTATACCAATTGAAATGTTGTGCCTTTTTGGCCAATCTAGTTCCAACTTTTGGTTAGCTTCATATTCAGAAAACATTCACATGATCAAAAGAATGTCCTTGAAGTATGGTAACTCTGACAAGTCTATGCACATTCAAACTTCATTAGAAAATTGACTTGAAAGAATGCATGCAATTTCACTTACCAAACAAGGCACGGGAAAGGCTATTATTTTCCATATACTCGTATACAAGCAATAATTGGTTCCCCTCAATGCAGCATCCATAGAGCTTCACAAGGTTAGGATGTTGTAGAGCTGAAATCATGCCTATTTCATTTAAAAACTCACGGTTCCCTTGTTTTGATTTGGACGACAGCTGCTTCACAGCGATAATAGTTCCGTCTTTAAGATGACCCTTCAATGATGATTAAATGTCAGATTACAAGGAGCAAAACCAGACTCATGCAGCAAATCAACGAATAACTGTAATTAATCATTTGTTAAAATCACCTTGTACACAGGACCAAAACCACCTTCTCCGATATTGTTAGCTGCATCAAAGTTATTTGTAGCAGCTTTGATTTGTTTGAGAGTGAACAATTTTACATGCAAGTCTAATCCCTTTAGGTCTGCCAAGAAAAGGCTCACAGGAGTAAGTCTCAAGAATGCAATACTATTCACGGGGAAAAAGGAATCAAGAAGCATCCCAAACCTAAATCTGAGAGCCAAATAGGTGAAAATACAATATTGAAATTAAGGATAATCTTCATTAGGATATATTTTTGCATTGCTTTGGAAACTTATGGGACAAACATATTAAAGTGAAGAAAGAACATGATGATAGATGGTTGAATTTTTGAAACGTTGAATACGTATTAGTTGACATTATCTGCTAATTATTGAAGGCTTACAATTTTCCATCGAATCCTTCCATGGGAAACAGCCTCTCCACCAGAGAATAACCACAACCAAAGAAATTACAGACAAAGCAGCAATGATAATCCCAGCTACAGCACCGGCATGCAGGCTATTTCCATCTGATGGTGGTGCAGAATCTGGACATGTGCATTACCACAAAGATGCAAAAAGAAAAGGTGGAGAAGTTTTCAGACCATTGTCTTTCCCGAAAATTTAAGTACGATATGTTATGTCAGTTCTTCTGTGGTCTTACAATAATTTCAAAAACAAAAGGAACTCTCAAAACCGAACTGCAATCTTTTGTTGTTTTGTGAACTAAAACATCATGTAAAACTATAATCATGAATGTCAGATTGCATAATTACTTCAGTAGTGTAGCAATGTATGGGAAAAGGAATGTGCTCAAAGTCGTGAAGTTTTACATTTCCCTGCTAAAGATCTAGACAGTTCAGAGGTTACCTGATATCACAGAGATTGCAGAAATGAGAGGACCATATACTCCCCTAAACGGAATACCAGTAGTCCCTTTTCCAGCCCAGAAGAAACGAATCTCTAAAGTATTGTCAGTTACCACAGCAGTAAAACTCCTAACAATGGGTATATTAACTCCACCTGCTTCAGTCTCAATATTGAAGTCTTTCTTCACCAGCTTTCCCTGAATGATGTAATCATGTAGTCTTAGTATTAGAAAGAAGTAAACGGTCTCTATTTACCCAAACATCATATTATTAACCATTCAATAGCTACTAGAATTCACTAAATTTTTCACTAGAAAAACTTGTACTGTTAAAGAACATGCACCTGAATATATATATCAAAGAATCGCCTCCCAAGGCTAGCATATGTTCTGTCACCAGAAAACATGATTTCCGCAAAATGGAGGTTCACTGTGTAGTTCCCATTTGCCAAACAGTAGACATAATATGTCAATGAAAGCGGGGACAATCTTGCAGTTCTGTACAAATCAATGTTGTTCCCTGATATAGTTGAGCTGTTCCAGAGATATGTATCACTTGGGAGAGCATTGTCCAAGAAGCTTCCTGTACTGCTAACTGCCCAGTTACTTCTGCTCTGAAAGAAGTTTGAAGGCCCTCCTGACTGGATATCTTCTTCATAAGTTGTACCATTATCAAGTCTCACTTGTCTTCCACCACAGTTTATATGGATAGAGTAAACACCTACATTGAAGTCATTAACACAGGAAACAAATTTATTCTTTAAATAGGCAAACTCCATAGAATAAAGTAATTTTTTGGTGGTAAGCATATTTCTTTTGTCAATAGCACAACAATAATAAACAAATGGAAGTAGAATTCTTCCTCAGATACGAAATCAAGCAAAAGACAGGTACCCAAATGATTAGAGGTATAACAACGTTCAAGTTTACCCAATTTTCTGAATCATTTGGTTCCATGTGCCTTAATAGCTCTGCTCTTTCCTTAATCACTTTGGCTTGATATTCTTAAAAAAGTGCAGTTGATTAGAGATCAAATTAATAAATTGACTGGTGACAAGTACACTGTGTGTAAAGCAAATAACCAAGTGGAAAAGCCTCAAGTTTCATCCTTACTCTCTACATTTAATTCACTCTTCAGATTTATCTTATACAACATGTAGGCTCACACAGGTTAGATCTTGCACTCTGGCATTTTGTTGACCAGGCTTGAGCAAGAGCCTAGGCTGCAGAGTGTAAATCAATAGTCAAACTATTAACTTACTTTTTGGACAAAGATTAGGATTGTTCCTTAGGCAGGAAACCAGACCCCTGGAAAAACAAGGGAAAATTAAAGAAATGTTATCATTTGGTGGTTTTGCAATTAATGATTATAAAACAAGAGCCCTTTTCCTCCTGAGGGCCATTTTCCCAGTTAGGATTGTCATAAAATGTCATGGATTGGAATCTTACGATGTATTCCCCTCTGAAGTGCTTGCAAACAAGTTCCTAACACAGAAAAGCATTTAAATGTTAGCCAGCAGGCAAAAAACTTGGCGATGAACCTATTAACTCAAAGGAACTCAACAAAATCTTACGTGGTTCTCGGTTGACAATTTGAGTCTGCTGTAAAATTGTTGTATGAAAGATCACTGAAGTAAGATTGAAGAACAATTAATGAGGTGTCCATAACTTTCACTCGACAGAATATATGATAAAAACTTACTTAAAAATGACGTTATAAAAGAGAAATGATCAAATCAAAATGAGGCAACTGCTTCTTGGTAACTTACATAGCCTGTCCTTCATTAAGCATCCAATCAGGCACTGCTCCAGAGAAGAAGTTCCCAGTCATAAATCTAGAAGAAAACACCACAGACGAGTTAGTAATGGTGAGCGAAGATCCCTATCAAATGTTCTTCTTTGATGCTCCTTTAGTTACAGAGCAATAGAGGACATGAAGTAATCCAGGATATCTTCTCACAAGCCCTTACATGAAATCTGTGTGGTATAAGCTACCAAAGTTTTCTGGAATTGGTCCTGTTAGTTTGTTAAAACTGAGATCCCTGCAAAACAGCCGTAAGTAAAAGTTCGTAACCTAACTTCGATGAAGATGAAAAAAAATGTTCTTTATTATGCTTATGTCATTCAGGTCTACTCCAATAAAAAATATATTAACCTTAGCAAGGAAAGATGTAAATACTCACAACATTTTCAATTTTGTCATGGAGGCAAGGAAACCTGGTAACTGTCCAGTGATATTGCAGTTCCTTAATATACTACACAACCAAGTGCCACAAGTCAGATAAAAATGAGTATATCTCTCAATGCCAATCCACTGACATTGTAGCATAAGACTTACAGTGTTTTCAAATTTGTGGCCCCACTGAGGTCAGGAAAACTGGTGTCATTTCCACTTAAATCACTGATTCTCCTGTTCATTATTCAAGAAATATATTTGGTGCTTAAAAAAATCATTTTCAAGGTACCATAAACTTGACCATTACAACTCCATTATCAAACCAGATAAGGTATAAACTCACAGGTCTGTTAAATTTGTCAAGGAAGCAATGCACGAAGGTATTGGCCCGGATAGACCACTAGCCTGAATATAACTGTCATTACAAGAAATCAGTGCCGGTTTGAAATGGGAATTAATCAGGTAAGAGAAGCAGAGATCAAAATATCACAATTGGGGCCAGTATCTCACAGTTTTTGAAGGTTTGCCCAGTTCTGGGTGAAGTTTGGGATACTCCCATTGAGTTGGTTATCGCTAACCCGGCTGCATTTTTTAGGAAAAATGTATCACAAACAAATGGAATCCAATCATCTAAAATGTGAAATAAGAAAATTGAGATGAAGAGCTCACAGTTCCCTCAGAGAGGTCAACTGAGATAGTTCTGCAGGCAACTCCCCAGTCAAGTAATTTGAAGTTAGAAATCTACATTGCCAAGGAGTAAAAAAAGATTATGAATTCTCATGACCAAATCACCAAAAATACCACAAGTAGTAAACACTCTGGATTCTTTTTTGTACAGGGCTCACTTACAGTCTTTCTAACTTGAGGAGGTTCCCAAGCTCTGGAGGAATAGTTCCATTCAACTGATTGTACTCCAGCGTCCTATCAGATATGACATTCAACACAAAATTCAAGATTACCCCACAATTTAGAAAAATAGAGGAAATCGATTAGCTATAAAAGTCTTACAGATTGGCTAATGTGCTGATATTTCCCAATTCTTTTGGAATTGGCCCTGATATTCGGTTCCCAATCAGTGAACTGCAGCATAAAAACATTTACAAAAATTTAGCACCAAAAGGGCAATCTTTTCCGCTTCAAATTAAGCAAGAACAAGTAAGATATCGAGACGTACATGTTCACAAGCTGCATGGAACCCCATTCTTTAGGGATGGTACCGTTCAGGTAATTCCGGGTCAGATCACTGTGAAATTGCAGTCGGAATTTTCCAGTTACTTAAAAAAAATAAAAAAAAAAAATTCAATCTTTGCTGAGAAACATAGAAAGGCCTAGAAATTACTTACATTTCTCTTAGGAAAGGGAGATTGGTCAATTCAGGAGGCAACATTCCCGAAAGGTTCTGGGATTTGAGTATTCTGCATATCCCCCACAAGCATCAACGCTAAGACAATTAATTGACATCCCAGAATTTGAAGACTTTGAAATTAATTGACATCCCAGAATTCGAATTGAAAGGCGCATTCTCAGAATCCAAATAGGCATGCATTTCATTCCCTTCACCTTGTTTCAAAGGTTTGTAGCTAAATTGGATGAAAATTTGAAAAGGGAAGACCCAACTTGGGATATTTCGGAATTAGAACTCTGAATTGAATGCATATGAAAAAGTAAAAGTAGATAAAACGTCAAGTTATTGAACTGCAGAAGATGGTGTTCATTCCGCGGATTAAGGTTTTGAGTGTTTGATACTTTGATAATCAATCCTAGTACTTAGTTACTTAGGGGTTCATATTTATAAATTAGTTAAAGGTTCTCCATTGCTGGAATTAGTAGAACCGGAATGTCGGTTTCGATTTCGGTTCCATACTTCCAAACTCGAAATAAAATATTCCTTCCATTCCAAAATAAGTGTCATCTCACATAGTTTAAGAAACTCTTAAATAAGTTAATAAAATTACTTGAATATTCTCAACCAACCCCATTAAAAAAATATCCACCAATAGTATTAATTCTTTTGAGAGTAATTTTGAAAATTTTGGTCAAAAATTGCATTGAAATATAAGAACGACACTTATTTTGAAATTTCTCCATTTTACTAAAACGACACTTATTTTAGATTGGAGGAAGTACCAAAAAAGAAAAGCAAAATAAAATGCTCCTTCTGTCAATTTAGGCTACTCAATATCAATTACTCTTTTCATCTAAAAAAGTTCATTAGGTTTTACATTTTGTAGTATTAAAATAGTACAAAAAAGTGTGGACTATCTAAGAGAAAGAGTTTTTTCTTCTTTTTTTTTTTTTGAAAATAAGTAGTAATGTTAAGCTAAAAAGAATAAAACTAAATTCGAAATTTAAGTAAAATCAAAACCATGCCAATATATTAGCACTTGACATGAGCAAGTTATTATATATATACGATGGTTTGCCTAATGCAGTTCACGTCCTCAAGCAGAAACTATAAACAAATCAAAACGAGAATCGAAATCGAAATTAAAACCGTTAAAGGAGAGCAAATGTTGAATTTTATTTTTTTTAAGAACAAACTATTTCACTACTTCAAACCAACAAATTACAAAACATTTTCTAAATGAAAACACACTTTGGCTAATTTATGCGGCCCTTTTACTATATCTCTACACGCTTTATTATTTTATTACAATAATAATACAAAACCTTTATAACGTTCCTAGCGACAGCAACTGTAAGCATAGTTTCTGTGATATCCTCTATCAGACTTGAAGGTTAAAGTACAAGAATATAAACTTTTGATCCTAAAATTCCAAAGACCGGTTATATTTTGTAACTAAAGATCTTCACAAACGGAACAAGCAAATATAGATATTGAAAATTTGATAGATAAAATCTCTCAGCTCAAAATAATGTTTACTGTAGTATTATTGTAATAAAATAAACGGAAAAATTATTTTGAGACGAAAGGAATCTTAGCAGAGAAACATACATGCTAACCACATGGCAGGTGTTGTTGGGGAAGGAGCAATCGCAACTAACAGCGTTGGTATTATCTTTACTGGCATTTGGAGTAATCCAGTTACTTTCTCCTTTGCATATATCTGCGCTGAAATTCCAATCCTTCTTTCCTAAAGTCTCTGCAACTTGCTTCAAAGCCTCCACTACAAGGTGTCAGTGCATGCAAAACCATCAAAACAGTAGCCATATACAAATTGATAAGAGTGAAGAAATTATTATAAAATAAAACAACAAAGGTTAGGGACTATCATTTCGGGACGGAGGGAGCAAATAGTATCCTACTATATATATATATGTACCTTCATCAACAGGAAGAAGGGTAGTGTTTTCAGCTGAAGCAACAGTTGCAAGGCAAATGACTCCTGAAACAAGAAGCAACAATAATAATCTGGGAACCAACATATTGTTTTTGGTTTGAATGCGCAGTTTTGTTAGAGTTTCAGTTCAGAGGAGATCAGCAAAACTGAAATTTCAATAAGATGAAGACAAAGTAGCTAGCTGGCTAGGTACTTTCAAAATGAGCTTTGAGAAACTGATCATGAGAAAACCAATGTATATATATAGATACATGAACATACTAGGAAGTAGGAATATCATGGTGACAGAAACTGCAGTTGGCAGTTGACGAAGACATCCAAAGAAAATGAAGATCATAAACCTTTTTTTTTTTTTTGTGCAGAAATTAACCAAAACTTAAACAAAATACAAGTTGTTCGGGTACGCATTGGTGACTTACGTGTTTTTTTTTAATGCACTTGGAGAAAAACAGCAAGTTGTTTCTTCTATCATTTTCAACTGCAACTATGTTAATCAGTCTCTCCAAGTCAATATTTTTAATTAAGTTTTGTTTGGGCTGCTGATGTTTTAAAATTTGTCGGGATAAAAATAGGATCTTGACGTTATGAGTTAATTATAAGGATACTTAACAGCGTAAAAACAGCGTAAGATATGGAGCATGTACTGTGTCGTCAATTTAATTGCTACCCTGAATGAGAAAGAGGAAAATGCATGCGGTTTGGTTTAGAGGACGAAAACATAGCGAAGAAGGGGTTCTTAATTGACTGCAACAGACAAAATGTACGTAATTCTTTACAGTTTTCCATTACTTTATACGTACTCGTTGATTCCTACTAACTACATTGATGTTGACCATTTGAATGTTTTTCCAAGTTAATTGCTTTCCCAAATCATATATATTAACTCCCTCTGGTCCTAATTACTGTATTAAGCACAAATTAATACTCGAACCGATGCGTGTTCCTGCAAGCTGAATGGCCGGCGCCTGGAATCTGGTGTGCATGCGGCAGACATGCACCAAGGTCTGAAGCTGACTACCCTTTGCTTCCTACGTAAATTCCGTTCTACTGTGGATGCATAATTTGAATACGAGGTTCAAGAAATGATAATCTAAATGATGAAAGCACATGTATTTTCTTTACGTACCCTAGAAAGAAAAAAAATATATGATTTATATATTTTGTAGTGCATTTGGAATTTCTTTTAAATCAGATTATTAAAAAGAGAGAGTAAGGATGCGGAAGATTATCACAGAGGTTAGAGGTAGATAATTTGAGTGTTGCGAAGATGATAGATAGATATATGGTGATGAGGACGTTCTCGATGGAATTGTGGGGGTGAAACATATATATGGGGAAATGAATTTCGCCGCTACTAGTTTAGTATTGTCCAACTCTAGTGATTTATTGTCGCCATTGAAGTCATGATTAGATCATGATGATATTATTGGTGTTTGCTGTAGTAGTGTAGTATTTCAGACAATTGCCTCCTTTTATTATACTAAAGAAATCCGCAATTTAAGTTGATTTAGGGGCCAATATCATAATTTCCTCTTTTAAAATTTTTTTGTTTCTTACCATAGACACCCTGCAATATGCCATATATATATATATATATATATATATATATATATATTGTTTCTGATAATTAAAATTTCATAATTCAACTTATGGGATCTAATTCACTTAAAAGACTCTGATCAAGTTTGATAAATAAACGTAATAATTTTATGCATTTTCATAACTGTAACGTATAGTTCCTTATTTTAAGATCAAATCACTCAACTTTTAGAAACTAGCTTTTTAAGTTTCGACTACAAATCCAGGAGTAAGGATTTTGAAAACCCAAATTGGGGTGCTTTACTACTACTGAGGATCCTCTCCGCAATTCTCTTCATGAACTCACATCAATGCCAACCAAAAATTCTGTACAGAAGTCAGTCCTTACTCCTTTGGCTTCTTTTCTGGACAAACAGAAAATTGGAAAATAGAATAAATGAAGCTATGACAAAATAACCTCACATATCATGAAATCTCTGCCACATTTACACAAAAAGAAAGATGTACAAAACGAGTATCAAAAGACTACTGATGTGTGGGATACCAGAAGAGTATTGTTCCCTACAATCTCTTCTCTAAGTAGTCAGTATCCATATTGATTGGGTAGAGATCTTCAGTAGATGTTGTCGAAGCAGTAAATGGCACTTCCATCGTTACATGTTCCACCTGACTGTCGCTCGAGTTTGCAAACAGCCGCTGAGTTGTCATTTCCAGGGCCCTAACCTTGTCACTCTTGTTACTCTTACTTGATGCACTCAGTTCTTCAATCAACTTCTTTCCTCTGCCTTCCAACATGCTAACCACAGACGACATACTAGGCCGGTCAGTGGATGACTGGTTCGTGCAAAGAAGGGCAATATGAATTGTCCTCATAACCTCATCTTTGTTGTATTTTGATCCTAGTCGTAGATCTATTAGTTCCGTTAGCCTCCCTTCCTCATTCAACTGATTGGCCTGTAAAAGATCAATGTAATTGACTTTCAGCAGAGAAAAACAGCCTGCATTAATTAACTGAACAGGAACAAAATATCCAACATAAAATCATTGACATATATAAGTGTTCTTTCCAGTAACAACGAAAAACAAGCATAATCTTGCAAACAGGAAGCAATAAGCTACAGGCACTTTAGTGCTGTTCAGATTAAACAAGTTAGTGGGGGCTGTTAAGGTCCATGAGTAGCGTGATTGCTATCCACGGACCGAAACTACAGGAACTAATGAGTGTATGAATGCTTAAAAACTTTTATATCAAGATTGAGTTGCTTTACAAATGGTATGATATCAGTACAAGCGATTATGCCGAAGACATTTAAGCATGCTTTCAGAATAAGTGGTGGATTCTCTAATTGTCATGGACAGCAGACTTGATTACTTTCCATGTCAAAGGTACTTAACTTGAATGCAATAGCAATGGAATCCTAAATGTAAGAGAGGTTATGAGTTTACCCAGTCTAGAAGGTAGAAACAATCCTGCTTTGGTTTGATACTAGTGTTACTCCTTCCACTTACAATCTCCAAAAGAACTACTCCAAAGCTATACACATCGGCCTTGTCAGTTAAATAGCCCCTCATTGCATATTCAGGAGCCATGTAACCACTGAAAACCAGAAGCATGGAATCAGAACATGTATCCACAACCATCAATCTTGCACAAGAAAAAACAAAACACAACATTGAAACTGCGAATGGAAATATATCATGCAACTATCTTCCAGCAAAAGAAGATGCTATGCAGGACTTACAAAGTTCCAGCAATCCGAGTACTTATATGGGTATTCTCTTCTTCATCAAGCTTAGCCAGACCAAAGTCAGATATTTTGGGATTTAGATCCTTATCAAGAAGCACGTTCGTGGCCTTTATGTCTCTGTGGACAATCTTTAACCTTGATTCTTCATGGAGATAAGCCAGACCTCTAGCTATACCAATTGAAATTTTGTGCCTCGTTGGCCAATCTAGTTCCAACTGATGTTCCTCAGGACCTGAAAACATTCAGGTGCATCAATCGAACATTCCTGAATAGTGGTAACTCTAACAAGTTTGTGCACATCAATTCCAATTTTGTTGGACAAATTGACTCCAAAACAAACATGCAGTTTCACGTACCAAATAAGGCGCGGGCAAGGCTATTATTTTCCAAATACTCATAAACAAGCAATAACTGGTTCCCCTCAATGCAGCATCCATGGAGCTTCACAAGGTTAGGATGTTGTAAAGCTGAGATCATGCCTATTTCATTGATAAATTCACGGTTCCCTTGCTTTGATTTGGAAGACAGCTGCTTTACAGCAATAATGGTTCCATCTCCAAGACATCCCTTCAATGATGATAGAATGTCAGATTAAAAGGAGAAAAAATAAGCGCTTGCATCGATTCAACGAATAACAGTAATCAATCATTTGTTAGAATCACCTTGTACACAGGACCAAAACCACCTTCTCCAATCTTGTTAGTTGCATCGAAGTTGTTTGTAGCAGCTTTGATTTGTCTGAGAGTGAATGATCCTGTGTGCAAGTCTAACCCCTTTAGATCTGCAGAAAAAAGTCTCATCAGAGTAAGTCTCGTGATCTAAGTTCACCAGCCTAAACTTGAGAGCAGAGTAAGTAAAATTTAACACTGAAACTTATTGATCATTTTCATGAAGATATACTTCTTGATACAGAAACAATTGGAACAAAGATATCAAACTGAAAAACAGAAAAAAAAAAAAAAAACACGATGATGTTTGAATTTTTGGAAAGATAAATAAAGCTCAAGTTGTCAAGTTGCCATGAACTGACTCGCGTTAGTAGACGTTGTGTCCCAATAAATTGAAGGCTTACCATTTTCCAGAGTGTCCTTGCATGGGAGACAGCCTTTCCACCACAGAATAACTAGAACCAAGGAAATTACAAACAATACCGCAATAACAATCCCAGCTACAGCGCCAGCAGACAGGCTATTTCCATCTGACGGTTGAGAATCTGGACATTTACATAAACACACAGATGCACAAAGAGAAGGGGGATAAGTTTTCCAAACCATTGCCTTTTCAAGAAAATCGAAATAAAGAACAATATGATATGTCAGTTCTTCTGTGGTCTTAAAATAATTTCAAAAGTGAAAAGAATTCTCAGAGCAGAACAAAGTCATCTTTTCCTGAATTTTCTGAACCCAAACATTATGTATGATATAATCATGAGCCACAGATTGTATGATTGCTTCAGTGGCGTATTTATGCACCACAAACTGAATATAGACACAAAGTCATGATGTTTCTCTTGCTAAACTAGAGCCAGATTGTATGAAGCTTACCAGATATCATAGAGATTGCAGAAATGAGAGGACCATATATTCCCCTAAATGGAATAGATGTAGTTCCTTTTCCAGCCCAGAAGAAACGAATCTCTAAAGTATTGTCATTTACCACAGCAGGAAAACTCCTGACAATGGGTATATTTACTCCACCTGCTTCAGCCTCAATATTGAAGTCTTTCTTCACCAGCTTTCCCTGGATGATGTGGTGTGATCATGTAGTCTTAGTATTAGAAAGAAGTAAAAAAAAAAAAAGGTCCATATTTACCCAATTGTCATCATTTTAACTGCTCAACAGCTACTAGAATTCACTAAATTTTGCAGAAGAAAAAATTTGCTGTGAAAGAATATGCACCTGAATATATATATCAAAGAATCGCCTCCCAAGGCTAACATAAGTTCTGTCACCAGAAAATATGATTTCCGCAAAATGAAGGTTTACTGTGTACTTGCCATTTGCCAAACAGTAGCCATAATATGTCAATGAAAGGGGGGACAATCGTGCAGTTCTGTACAAGTCAATGTTGTTCCCCGATATAATTGTACTGTTCCAGAGATACGTATCACTTGGGAGATCATTGTCTGGGAAGTTTCCTGTACTGCTAATTCCCCAGTTACTTTTGCCCCTAATGAAGTTTGAAGGTCCACCTGACTGGATATCTTCGTCGTAGGATGTACCATTATTAAGTGTCACTTGACTTCCACCACAATTTATATGGATAGAGTAGGAAAGACCTATTGTCGAGCAATTAACAAAGTTGTTAGAGAGTCAAACTCTATGAAACTGAACTTAATGCCGCATATTTCTTTTCTAGACTACACCGAAAATTAAAAAAACGAAGGGGAATTTTTTCTTAGAGAAGAAAACATTCAAAAGATAAGCACTCGAATGAATAGTGTTAACTGTTATATCAGGTTTCAATACATGCAGTTTTCTGGAATCGTTCTGTTCTATGTCGCGCAATAGTGCTCTTTTCTATATCTCTTTAGGGTCAAAATTCGTAGTTTTTTGTACTCTTAGAAGTCCAGTTCATTGTTGAACAAATTTAACTATTGACTGTCGACAAGGATACACCACTGAGTAAACAACAAACAAACAAGTGATAAAGCCTCAAGTTCCATCCTTACTTTCTAGTTTCTACATCTTCTTCAAGAAGAAATTTATCTGTTATAACATGTAAGCTTACAGCTTAGATGATGCACTCTGGCATTTCTTGTCCAGGATTAGATAAGATATGTAGGCTGCAGAGCATAAAGCAAAAGTCAAGTAACACAGGCTTACCATTTGGACAAGTAGGATTGCTCCTTAAGCAGGAAACTAGGGCCCTGGAAAAACAATGGAATGTTAGGGAAAGTTTCTCTTGAGGTGACACTGCAGATCATGATAAATAAAAGAAGAGCCTTTTTCTAATCTGTTTCTTGAAGTGTCACATTCACGATCAAGATGGTCATCAGAATGTTATGGATTGGAATCTTACGTAGTATTCCCCGCTGAAGTGCTTGCAAACAAGTTCCTAACATAGATTAGCATTTAAATGTTAGCCAGAAGGAGTAAAGCTCGGCCAAGAAACTATTTGCCCCCAAGTAATTCAAAAAAAGGAATCTTACGTGGTTCTCGGTTGACAAATTGAGTCTGTTGTAAAATTGTTGTATGAAAGATCACTGGAGTAAGATAGAAGAGCAATCAATGAGAATATATTAGAAAGAATGAACAAAAGCACTTCAGCTTTTGCCAAATGGTAGTTCATTCAGATGGTCATACTGTTTTAGTGTAACAATGATATAGTAAAAGAGATTATAATATCAAACAATAGACAATCCAGATAAATAATCAACTTACATATTCTGTCCTTTACTTGTCATCCATTCAGGCACTGCCCCAGAGAGTAAATTTCCAGTCAAAAAGCTAGGAGAACACCATATATGAGTTAGTAAACGTAAACGAAGCTGTATTCTACAATCAACTTTTGGTAACACAGACATGGATCGAACTAGACAGCTTTTCAGAATCCTTACATGAAGTCTGTGTCTGATAAGCTACTAAAGCTGTCAGGAATTGGTCCTGTTAGTTTGTTAAAACTGAGATCCCTGCAAGGCCATGATAAATAACTTTCTTCAGAAGAGATTTCGTATTAGCCTATAAAATCTTTTCCACCGCACATGACAGGATGACCACATAACTATTGCCAAGATTTGACTTGGTTTTGCAAATCATTGGTTACAAGAAAATTAAGTCGTTCCTCTCATGAGTGCATGAAACGCCTTATTCTTCTCCACTCTATAACTGCACCAGCATTTGTCACTATTGATTAAATAAATATGGAATTCTCAGAGCATCATTCCATCATAAGTACGTCTTACACAATATTGCAGCTGGGCAAGTAACACATCAAAACTATGTAAGTTCATTGTTTAATCATGCAAGAGTGCAAGTAAAATTTCTCACTGAAGCTTCAATTAAAATGAAAATTTTTCGTTTCATATGTACGGCAACAACCCAAAACACTAACAACAGCAAGAAAGTATGATGTAGATACTCACAAAGTTTTCAATTTTGTCATTGAGCTAAGAAACCCTGGCAACGGTCCGGTGACATTGGAATTCCTTAGTATGCTACACAACCAACCATCAAGTCAGGTAAGAACAAGTGAGGATATGTATCTCTGACAATGCACAGATATGCCACAAGACTTACAATGTTCTCAAACTTTTGGACGCACTGAGGTCAGGAAAACCGGTGCCATTTCCAATCAAATCACTGATTCTCCTGTCATGTTTTCCAAGAAATATATAAGTAGTGTTTCAAAAGATCATTTTTGGCACTATAAACTTAGCCATAACAATTCCATTATGAAACAAGATAAGGTATTGACTCACAAGTCTGTTAAATTCGTCAAGGACACGATTGAAGGTAATGGGCCAGATAGACCACTACCCTGAATAAAACTGCCATCACAAGAAATAGTATCAGCAAAAAATGAAAAGTAGAAGCACAAAATTACATGAAAACTAACTAGGAAAGAGAAGTAGAGATAAAATTATCAAGATAAGTTTAATGTCTCACAGTTTTTGAAGATTTTTCAAGTTCCAGATGAAGTCTGGTATACTCCCATTGAATTGGTTATCACTAACCCGACTGCATTTTTCCAAATAATGTATCAAACAGTCACAATGCTAATTTGGATGATGTATCAGAACAACTGAAATCTGATAATTCAACTATGGAAGACCAAAAAAAAAAAAAAATGAAATCAGAATCAGAAGCTCACAATTCCCTCAAAGTGGCCAACTTAGATAGTTCTTGAGGCAACTCCCCAGTGAAGAAGTTTGAGGTTAGAGATCTTCATTGCAAAAGAGGAAAAACAAATTATCAATTATCATGACTTAATCAAGAAAAATACTCAAGAAGTTAAGCAATTGAATCATTAGAAAATAGAAAAGATTTCTGCGAAAAGAAAGCTCATACAGTCTCTCTAAATTGGAGAGATTCCCAAGATCTGGAGGAATAGTTCCGCTCAACTGATTGTGCTCCAGAGTCCTATCAACAGAAAATTCAAGACTCAAATATGCTAACCCATATCACAAAATACACATAGCATAAACAAGAAAGGATTAAGGAAAAACCAAAGTCTTACAGATTAGCTAATGTGCTGATATTTCCTAATTCTTTTGGGATTGGCCCTGATATCCGGTTCCCAAGTATAGAACTGCAAATACAAACAAATTCATACCCCAAATTTAGCACCAATTTTAGCTTCAAATGAGAAAGAGAGAGAGAGACGTACATGTTTACAAGTTTCATGGAACCCCATTCTCTGGGGATGGTGCCGTTCAGGTAGTTCCGAGTCAGATCACTGGAAATAATTTTCCAGTCAGAAATTCGCCCAAAGTTAGTTATAATGATTAAAGTTTCAAACTTTTTTGATGGGTTTATTCATTATTCGTTCAGCAAAGAAACAAAAAGGGTCAGAGTCTGAGGACACTTACATTTCTTGTAGGAATGGGAGTTTGGTCAACGTTGGCGGCAAGGTTCCTGTAAGATTCTGCACTTTGAGTATTCTGCATATCCAAACAAGATGAAGCTCATCAAAAACTAGTAATTTTTCTTTTCAGAGGATTTTCCCCACTTCTAGTCCTGGGAATTTTGTGCCCAGTTCAATTATAACATACCAATTGAACACTTTTTTCCTAATTCGCATTTTTTGGCTCTTTCTAATTGGCAAAAAGGAAAAGAAGAAGAAGAAAAACAGAGGAACTAATTCGGAACATATTAGGGAATTGTTGAGCTTAATTGGGAGTGATCACAACTAGTCTATCATATTAGTCTTTTCAGAGTGATAAAGGTTTCAGAATTTGTCCCAAAAAAAAAAAAAAACAAAATACTGCTGATTTTGATGGCAGCATTCAACTCTGCAACACCAAAATTGTAGCAGGAGCACATTGTTTCTTTCTGTGACTTTCAATCTCTATACTGTAGTAAAAATCACAAACTTTCTGAAGAAAGAAAAAGACAAAAAAAATTAGAGAAGAGAAACTTACATGCTAATAACATGGCAAGCAGTGTTATTGGCGAAGGAACAATTACAAGTAACCGCGCTCGTGTTATCTTTGGTGTTAAATGGTAGAGTCCAGTTCCCCTGTCCAGTACACGGATCCACACTAAAATCCCAATCATTCTTCCCTAAAGTTGTGGCTATTTCCCGCAGAGCACTCACTGGAAAAGTACAAAACAAAAAAGGGTTCTTCATATTAGCATCAAAAACATCATCTTTGTAGTAGCCCTCAAGTCAATAAATGTACCTTCATCAGCAGGAAGAACAGCTCCATAAGCAAGTGTTGAAAAGCAAATGATGAGTAGTAATAAAACTCTAATGAATACCATCATTCCTCTGTGAATTCAAAGCCAAGAAGATTTTGATTAATGTTGGAGTATGAATTCTAAAGAAAATGGAGTTGATGAAGAGGATATGATTGAAAGTGCTACTTCACAATAGTACAATACTTCATCATCAAGTGGGGTGGAATTAAGAAGAGAAAATGGTTGACTGATTCCTTTAAGTTGTTGATAGTACTATTACTACTATATCAAAGTGTCTAGGAGGTGGCCTCGGAGAAGATTGATAATACTGTGATGGCTCATGGGACATTCATTTTTGTTTCAGCGTGGACTTTTTGAGGTTTTTTTGTGTGGGAGTTTTGATGAAGACTTCGAACATGGTGCAACCCACCAAGCTGAACTGCGGAACCATTTTTTTATTATTTTTTTTTTTTTTTGGTGGTGTTCAAAGAGTTAAATAATCCATTTATTAGTTTAATCAATTCTTTATGTTTAGATTAGTTGACTTGACTGTTTTTTTTTTTTTTTTTTTGAACGCCACCCTGTCAATTAGTCGTTTTAAGTAGTTTCGTTAATTTAAGTTATGTCTTTGTCCCGCGAGGATGTTCATGAGTTGGTTATTAGTATTTGTGTGGGAAATCGTATTGATCAATTGCCAAATCAAATCATGTGCGAAGATTTATCATACTGTCATGTATCTTGAGGATATTCATCAAGAATTATCATAAGACATTTTTTTAGAAACATTTTATTTTCTTTTATGTAGGCTAAGGATCTCCTACACCATTTTCGTACAACGCTATCATGTAACTGTCTAATTTAATATTACCTCCACCTTCTTAAGATTTGACTAACCATTGAATGAACAATTATGTGTCAAATTATGGTAAATGGTGTAAAAAATTTGGTTTAGGATTGTATTAATAGAGATCTTGATATCTTTAAAATTTTTTATTTATAATGTATTTTCAACAATCATTGACGGAAGGGTATAGGGACATTTTTTAGCATGTGTAGGTAAATAAATAACTAATTGAACTGTTTTCATAATTGTGAGAAAATTGTTATGTATAGTGATTCCATATCCATAGTGATTGAAGTGATAAGGGCCAATAGTAGAGATGATTGGATTAATTTACAAAGACAAATTCATAACATCTACCCGAGGTTTCAATGAAGATTCTGACTTGGCCACATGCCTTTTGGAATTAATCAAGTTGTCGGTTTGACAATTGTATTTTGCATATATGTACGTCTGCTGATCTGCATTTTGATAGGCAATGAATAGTGTACTAAGTTATCATCATGTGAGGTTTTTTACTGTTGTGTTTTGTGTGTGTGTGTGTTTTAACATATCACACTTAGATTTATTTATTTATTTATTTTTTGGGGAGTAATCGTACTTAAAATCAATGAAACAGGTAATTGCAGAAACTTAATCTAATAATAAAAAAATGTGAAAAATTTTGAGTTAAGCTTTCCAATGCTTCTCCACTCCACTCGTTTGTGAAGAAGAGTCGTATACGTTACAGTGACGGACGTTATAAATTTTTGTTTAAGATACACGTACATGATGAGATACGCAATTAGAAAGAAAATTTAAAAAAAATTTACGAATCTCTTCATTGACTTATCAAACTCGTCATACCTAATCCTTGAAGTTAGAAATTAGCTCCAAATATTACATCAGTTTAAATTGAGATTTCATAAATAAATTCATCTCTGATACTTGGTTTGACCACGTGACACTCAACTTTTGAATTTTTCTTTTTAATTATTTTTTGTCCGTGTTTAATTGTTGTACTCCTTATCTTCAGTTGATACATAGCTTGAAGAACACACAAAGATTCATTTCATCTAATTAGAAAAAAGATTAATTTATATTTTATCATAATATTATTTCATGCTATACATATTTAGTCAAAAGAAAAATATCATTGTCTCATTGCGATATCTTTTTACTTTTCGCCAAAATATTGTTTCAGACGTAAAACGCTTGCCCCTCCATTACCTTATACATGTATGATCATGTCAGGAAATATAATGTACGAAGTTCCACTATTATAGTTTTATTATTCTCTGGAGATTAAGTAAAGTGAAATCTCAAACTGGACAATAATTTATATTAATAGTGAAATCTCAAGCTGGACAATAATTTTGGGACGGATGGAGTAACATTTTTTTCTTCTTCTTCCTTTTGCTTTTTGCAATTGGTTGGTTTACACTCCTTTCACATTCATGTTCAAGTCCTGAAAGAGACCCGTTACTCTATTTCACACCAACTCTCGTTGGTTAGGAGAGAGAGACGTAGATTTTCTTTTTCTTTTTTTTTTTTATTAAAATACAATCATCTACATTTGGTATTCGTGACTCGTGAGTCATTTATTTTTTTGTTTCGGAATAAGATTGGTATTTGCTGCCGACTTTATTTATTTATTACTCCCTTCGTCCCAAAATTATTGTTTAGTTTGTGTTTTAAGTTTTAGTACAATTTGAACTAGAAATGAAAATCCAAACTGGACAATAATTTTGGGACGGATGTAGTATTTGATATTGATGACAAACTGGGTACAATAAATAAAATGTTTAACAAACAGGAGTACAATGTTTAAGGCACCTTCCTTGATGCAACTATTAAAAGGAAAAGAAGATTAAAGTAAATAAAAGGGAGCTAATTGAACCAAACAAAAATTAAATCCCAAATGGTTGAGTTTAATAATTTGATAAAAATTAATTCTGCAAGTGGACCGCATGCGCTTTACTACTGCGGAAAACCAAGGACGCGGGAGGTAGTCAAACCATGGCATCCTAATTTTGGCCAACTGTATTACTACATTTAAACATATTTTTTATTTATTTATCATACCTGGCTACCTCGATATTATTAGATTGTAACATTAATCAATATTTTCCTACTTGTTATTGTAATAATAAAAATAGGAATATTCAAAGGATCTCCCCCATACTATAAAAAGTTTCAAAATCGGTTGTTAGGGATCTCCCCCAAATCGGAAACTATTCCTAATACTTGACTATAATATAATGTGTAAATCACGTTTTACAAAGTTTGGAAAATTTATTTGTAAATCATTCCTGAATCGAAATGCTTAGATCACAATTAGAGACTTTTAGGTGATTCATTGTAAATTAGAGACTTTACAGTAGGTTACTACTTTTATTTTACTACTAGGTTAAATTATTAAGGGCTTGTTTGGCCAACATTTTGTTTTAATTTTTTATTTGGGTTTGAGATGTGATTCAAAATGTAGTTTGAGAGAAAATTTAAAAAATTATTTTGGGTAATATTTTAAATAAAATAATAATATTTATAGACCGCCACCAGGTGGCGGCGGAGATAGTCCGGTGGTGATGTTAAAAATGGTGTAAAAATAATGTTTGAAATAAATTTTAAAAAGTAAATTGAAAAATTATTTGGATAGTATCGAGTTTTGTATTTGAGATATACTCTCTCTATTCCAAAATAGATGTCTTTGGAGGAAAACTCATTTTTTTCAAAATATATGTTATTTTTGCATTTCGAGGCATGTTTTGTCAATTTCTTCCAACATTACCCCTACATGGAAAATTGTAATTGTGTTTAAAGTAGAATTATATTAGAACTAAATAATATTGGAAGTAGGATTCTATTGAAAGTAAATGAGGGTAGATTAGTATTTTAACAAAGTATTTATTGTGTTTTTAAACTTTGTGCAACTCCCCCAACGACATCTATTTTGGAATGGAGGGAGTATTTATGAGACAAAATGCAAAATAAATGGTTGGCCAAACAAGCCCTAATTATTTAGTTCATATAAGTGAAGGTGGGTTTAGTTGTTAGATTAGAGGAGGAGTTTCTCCTTAGTTTTAGGGTGCTAGTCTATTTATGTACTTCTAACTCTTTATTTTTGGGGAGGAAGAAATTGAAGGAGTTTTATGGAGGCTGTATCCAGTATACCCGGGGACACCGTGCCCCTCCCTCTTATTTTTTACACGAGTAGTCCTTATTGTATTTTTCATTAATCTTTCTATGATTAGCAAGGATAGTCTCTCTCATTTTTTCTCTCTTTTCAAAAAAAAACACCTCTAATCTTTCAATGACCATATCTCCCAATCCGTGAAGAATTTGTGAACGAATTATACATGAAAATTATAGTACTCGTCGAGATCTATTCAACAAAATCCATTTCGAATATTTTTTTTGAGTTTAAAAATGATCAAATTTCTTTGGGCAGAATTAAGTTGGATATCCAGTACAAACAAGTTGGATAATCGGAATGAACACAGTGGATAACCAGTTCAAACAATTTGGATAAGCATGTAAATCCGTTAGATAACCAGTATGCACGAGTTGAATAACCAGTATGAACACAGTGAATAACCAGTTCAAACAATTTGGATAACCATGTAAATTCATTGGATAACCAGCATTAGCGCATTGGATAATCTAGTACAAACGAATGATTGGATAACCAATACAAACGAGTTGGATAACCAACTTAGTTTATTATTTTTTTTAAAAATAATAAAAAGAAAAATCAGGTTGGATAAATAATACTAATTAGTTGGATAAATAGTATTAACATAAATAATCAAGTTTGACAATCATTTTCATTAAAAGAGCAAAGAAAAAAATATTGGATAACCACCACAAATAAGTTGGATAATCAATATGAACACATTAGATAACCAGTACAAACAAGTTGGATAATCAGAATGAACACAGTGGATAACCAGTAGTTGGATAATCAGAATGAACACAATGAATAACCAATACAAACAATTTGGATAAGCATGTAAATCCGTTGGATAACCAGTATTAGCGCATAGGACGATGGATTATCCAATAGATAAAAAACTCATTGGATAATCAGAATGAACACAGTGGGTAACCAACTTAGTTTATTATTTTTCATATTGAAAAATAGTTATCCGTTGTGTTCCTACTGATTATCCAACCGGTTTGGACTGATTATCCATTATGTTCGTACTTGTCATCCAATCATATGTTTGACATCCACTCTTCAAAAAAAAAAAAAAGATGGATAACC